TCGTACATCGATAGCCCTCAAAAGCTCCTTCCTGTATGAATTGCATTAAGAGAATAAAAAATGAGACCAATTTCCAGTGGGGAAAGGGAGTGGGATGCTTTAAAATAGAATATACATCATAGCATGATTATGTACTGCCATCCTGAATGGTGACAGGCAGAGTTATGGCCAAGTGTTTCCATTAACATGTGTAGTCAACTCCAATCATTATTGTTAACTTCCAATTTCATCCTAGTAGTGGATTTCAATAGAGATATCATGACTAGATTTCTTTTCAGTCTGGACTTCTGCAAACCAATATTCAATTTTCTTGTCCAGCATAGAGAGCACTACATTCCTAAACATCTCAAACCACAATAACTTTATATGAAAGAGGTTCTGTAACCTCATCTCCTGTTAATGGTCAAGTTGTAGTCACTACAAAAAGACCATCATCTTAAATAACCTCACAGAAAAACCTTCCCCACTGCTGACTTCATGGATCCAACACGAAGAAGAGTGCAAAATGAGGGGAACTTAATGAGTTCAAATATGGTCCTACTGCAATTTAACTATAATTTTTCCCATAACTTGAAAATCTGACCACATTTATGTACAAAAAATTCACAGCAATCTAAAGCAATATTAAGTAAATTATAAAAAACCAAAATTTAACAGAGCATTACTTTGTTGCATCTGCTGCTGCTGTGATACCTGTTCCATCCCCACCTGAGCAAATTGTTCAAAAGCTAGGTCAGCATTGTAATAAAACTCATGCTTCGATTAATATCCAGATTTGACTGGATATGTCAATATTAAATACTTTACAGTCAAAAGTACAATAGCACAGGCAAAGAGTGTGGAAGACAGTCTTCAAGGATATGGAGCTTGATCTTGAAAATTTAGAAGGGCATGATATTTAAGTGCTTGTGGCTTTCCCTTTACACATTCACTAATCTATAGAGTCTATTCAATCTGACATAGCAAAAGAAATACAAGAAAAAATAAGTACTATATATGGATGACCTAGATCAGAATTACTTTGAAAATTAAGCATAAATGAAATTAAAACAGTAGCAAATTTTAACATCTACTTTAGACATTGGGCAGTCACTCCCAATAATGTATGACATTACTTAGCATTTTATATACAAAGACAATCCACGAACATCTATATTCATACAAGAAACTTAGCCTGACAGTGAAGAAACTAAGACAAAAAAAAATGGTGACCCACTTCTACACCATCAATCCTAAATCCTCTCCAATCTCAATCACTCATACAGAATCTACATTCACAATCAGTTATAACAAAGAAAGATCAATATGGACATAAATCCTCTCAGATAAAATTTAAGTTTATATTAGACAAGATTCCGGCCATTAAGTCTTGTTGCATCCAAACCAATTCAAGGTGCAAGATTACAATCAACTATCAAAAGTGAAGTTAGAACTGATGAACATACCCAATGTACCAGCATGTTGACCTCCCATTCCCTGGTATAAAACAGTTCCAAAATTTAATCAAAACAGAAAATGTGCTTGCAGTTACCATTACAGTTGTTGAACTGATCAAATGGCTAACCTGAGAATATATTCTCCGTGCTGCCTCCAACTGCGACATCTCTGCATCAAATATATTGACCAGTTCCAGTACTTCAGGAGTGCTAACAAACCGCACAAACCTATAAACAATATTGGCTATTGAAGTCAAATAAACCTGAAATATTACAACATAAAAGGCCAGCAGGCTTAAAATACCTAAAATTTATCTCCATTGGCAACCTAACCTTTCAAGTGTTCCTTTTGTGAACCATGATGTCTCAGCATATTTACGTTTCTCAACCTCAAGTTTAATTGACCGAACTGCAAGTGCAACCTGCTCCTCTGCAACTTTTAAATGGGTCACAAATGGCTTGACAGAACCAGATGCAAGCTTCTCAGTGTTCCCGTTACTAGAAACAAACAATTCACATCTGCGAAAGTAAAGAAAAACAAGATATGAACAATGATAATTGTAAGTGGAAACGTTAAAAGAACATGGAGATGTAAAGACTCGGGACACTCACCGTGAGTGCTTTGGTGATAATTGGAATACTGCATAATCAAGAGGCGTATCAGATTTCATTTTCTCCTTCACTCTAGCTCCTTTATCCCAAATGACCTCTTCATATAACAGACGTAACTTTTAAGCCCCAAATGCCAAAGATCCTCCCAATTCTGATTAGTTCATTATCAATGCATAATCTGAACCAAAAGAAGAACAGAAAAATTATAAAACTGAGTATACCAGTTCTTCCAAGTGACATAATATTGTGTAAACTCATAAAGCAACGAAAATTTGAAATTATTAGGACTGGATGAAACTTTCTATAATCGAATGAAATATGAAACTCCCACAGTTAACTAATCCAGATTCTAAATCAGAACGGTTTATTTGAAATAAGCATGTGTACAAAGAAAGAAGCACAAGCCCAGTTGCTAAAACCTACTACTTTTAGACCAAATACTTACCACTAATACACCAATAGATCTCAATCCAAAAACTCCGGTCAAAAGCAAAATGCACCTGAAGTCTAGCTCTTGTACAAAAAAAGAAACCAATACTTCAAATATGGAATTCAAATATTGCTCAGATCTGGGTTTGCAAAATCCAAATTGAAATGCAAAACCAAACAAAACCCAGATAGGCAAATGCCCAATTTACCCACAAAAACAAATTCAAATGCGAAACCACAACTGACGCAACCGGCATACATAAACTGAAATAGGAACATTTAAGCACTCAAGCAGCTAAAAATTGCATGCAATAAATGCAAAAATCCAAACCAATCGCACCCAAAAGTTAAGGCAAATGTGAAACCGATCGTCAATGTGAGAAGTTTACCTGAGCTTAACCTCTCGGAGATCTTCGATTGCTTCAATCGGATCCTCTGATTTGCTCAAGCTGGTGGCAGCATTTCACTGTTTTTTTCTTTCTATATATATTGTGCCCTCCTCCTTCTGGCTCTTTAAGAGTAGCTTTTCTTTTTTCCAAATTTTCCAAATGGTTTTTTTGTTTTCAAATTAATATTGGGCTTTTCTTCTCTTTCTCCTCCTTTAGGCTTTAGGCTTTAGGCTTTAAGGAAACCCTAATAACAGCAATGAGAATTTGGTTTTTGCTTTACTCATTCCTCAAATGCACCTTTTCTTTGCCCCCTCTTTTTCCCCCAAGTGCTTTGCTTTGTGTTGCTTTCTCTCTCTACACTCTTACTGTTTAAAAATACACAGTAGAGAGAGAGAGGGGAAGTGTCTGTGCTTTGAACTTCAGACAAAATTTTGGTTTGTAATTTGTAAAAAAAAAATCTTAACTAGGAATGGAAGACAGAGACTCTTTGGTGGTGCTTATGTGTAATTACACAAATGGTCTTGACTGTAGTTGACTCCAAATTACCATGTTGCCATTCTTTTTGCCTTTTCATCAGTAATTAATTCATCCAACTTCATTTTTAGTAAAAATAAATCTGAGCTTTTAATCCAATCAAGAGTCCTCCACAAAAATTGTACCCAATGGTTTCAAATTTGAACCCATCTAGATATAAATTGAAGATAATAACTATTTATCTTTTCCAATTATGTCCTTATCTTCTTCCTTTTTTCCACAATTTTTTTTTATTTTTTGAAAACATTTTCATAGTAAATTTTCTGGTTTTCCAATTACCTGGGTTAACTTTATTTTTTAATTGTTTAATTTATTCTTCGTGCTTGCAAATAATGATTTTTAAATAAACTATTTATGTCCATTTGCGTGCACGTTTTGTTCTTTTGTGAAATGCCTTTGTTTAATTTAAGCAAAAACAACGGTCATGACTTGTATACTTCCCATCAACTTGTATTATTATCAAACAAACTTCAAATTACAAAACCTCTAACGAGTTTCCAGCAAGAAAGTTTCGTATTTAAATTGATAACGAAAGTTATCAGGTCTCCAAATATACCACTTATTGAAGAATATAAAATCCCGCATTAGAAATTTAACTAAATAAATTATAACTTATAGTAATACTTTCCGATTCTCTGAAATTTAACCATACATATGCAATAGTAGCTAATGGGATCTAGCCCAATTGAAAAGGGCATTAACTTGCAGAATTTGGGTTTCAAGTTCAAACTCTTATGACATCTTGGTAGTGTATGTATGAGAAACTCCTCTCTCCCTGTCAAGTTACATTGCTTTCTCCATTTACTTAGTTAAAAAGAATCTCGTGATCAAATTCAAAGATCATTTGAGTCGAAAACCAAATTGTATAGCAATATGCGTGCATGTCATGTCAATTGATGACGCTGATTTCACACATTACTTACTTACAAGAAATAAGTTAATTAATCACACGCTTTGTAAATCAAAGGCTTTTGAACTTAGAAAAGAAAACATGCCTGCCTATATTCAAAGCCCACAGCATGTGGAGAGTCAAGTTAGTCAAATTTATTGGGTATTAGGCTAAAACAAACACACACCTGCTTTGTGACTTTACTCAAAGCCCACGCCTGCTTTGTCACATTGGCAAATGATGTTATTAATCTATATGATGTTATAATATGATATAATAGTAAAAAATAAATACACATTTTAAAAATAATAAATAAATAATAAAAAAAAAGTAGCTAGCATGCCGCAAAATCAAATGATTTTAAAGAAGCTTTGGTTTCTGGTATCCGAGTGTAAAACCAGTAAAAATGTTGTACCGGAAAATGAACCCCTCTCGAACTCTCCCAAATACTCTCCTTCTCTCTCACCTCAGGGAACCTCTCACCTACCATCTGCAATTTCCTTTGGTTCTGCCGGGGATTCCACATAGCATAAACTCTCTCTCTCTCTCTCTCTCTCTCTCTCTCTCTCTCTCTCTCTCTCTCAAGATGCACCGTTTGGCATTGAAAGAACAGTCATCTGATAACCAATCTACAGCCAGCGATGACAATATTTCATAAGCATCCATGAAAATGCATGAAGATTTTACACTTGATAAACAAAAGCAACAATATTCAAATAACAAGTGCACCATTTCAATAGACTAGATTCATTTACCATTGCCAACAATAATCCAACCTCTACATTCTAAACAAGCATTTACTGATGACTAGTGTCTTCTACATCATTTCACAAACTCACCAACTAGATGACAAGACAAGAACAACAGATCATACACTCAAATTCTACCATTTTGGAATACTAATTTGCCAACATGGGTTGGGTTTTTTTTTTCACCTTTCCTAGTTGCTACAATCACTGTTATTGTTGTTGCTATGATGGTTACCAGCATTCCCATTCCCACTCCTCCTCCCACCCCCATGCTTGAGCTGAGAAATCTCCACTTGGGTCTTCATGAAGAACTGCATTCTCTGCAGCTCCAGCTCCTTGGCAAACTTCATCCTCTGCTTCTCCATCTCCACCACCTGCTGCAACTTTGCTGTCTCTGCATGCTCATAAGCCTCCCCAAATTTCATTATCGCCCGAGTCAATTCCCTCACTGAACTCCCCCACCCTCCTCCTCCTTTCTCTCTACCCACCCCTCCATCTTTTGTTCCAGTCCCTCCCTTTCCCACGCCACCAGCATTGTTCACATTCGCCTCTGGCAGCACCGTCCTCCTCCGCCTCTTCCGCTCGAAAACCTCGTTATCAATCGAAAAAGGTGACAGCTCCCCGGACTCATCCGAGTCCCAATCCACCAAACTCCTTGGTCTAATCTTTACCTCCCGTTTCGAGTCCCGTTGCCCGAAATACTGACCAGGGCGAACCCCGACCGGCATTCCCATCGGCACTTTCTGGTTGTGCGCCAAAAACCCGCCACCGCCACCAGAGCCAGGACCCACCTTAGCAGCAGAGGAGGGCCCAATCAAATGATCGAGCCTCTCAAAAAAAGGCCATTTACTGGGTCCTCCGCCCGCTGCCATCTTCGATTTCTCAAGCTTATACTTCTTCTTGACAGTATCGATCCTATTCTTACACTGAATATCAGTCTTGGGTGTCTTACCATAGTCCTCTCTGCTGCTGACGACGTCCGCCACTTCCTTCCAGTGCTTCTGTTTCAAATTCCCTCTGCTCAGCTCCAAGTACCTCTCCCCCCACGCCTCGATCAGCACCGCTGTCGCTCCTTCGCTCCAGCAGTCCTCCCTTCCTCCTCCGCTGCTCCGCCCCTGCTGCCCCTGCGACGGTAGAGCCAGCGTCAAGCCCTTGCTCTGGGGCTGCGACGCCGGCGCCGGAATCTGAGCCGACGGCACCGCCACCGTCACCGTTATCCGACCGTTCTGCCTCGGCGACTCCGGCGATCCGCTTCTCCCCGACGCCGGTGATTGGATCTCGTCATCCTCCTCCATCGCTTCGATTTGCTATGGTGCGCGCCGATCTCAAAACAGAGAAAGGCGGAGATCGGTCCGGTCTGGATCTGAAATTCGGTGGTGAAGAACGCACCAGGCGTACAATAGCGCCGATCTGAGAGCTGGGACTTCTTCGGAGGGATAGAGAGCTAGGGATTGTGGTGGGTGCTATCGTGCGCCGGAGGCCGTAGGATAGGAGATATCGGCGATGTGAATATTTAGGTTTTTGGGGGTTGGGATATAGCTTTAAGTGAGGGAAGACGAGAGAGAGAGACGGGGTTGGGGGTGTTTTGGGTTGACCGGCTTTTCGCGTTTACGGAAAACGTTAATTTTGCGTTGTGGTGTTTTTTTTTTGTTGGGTTGCGTTTTCTCGGTTGACGGAAAAAACTGAGGGAGAGAGGGAGAGAGAGAGAGAGATTGGGATTTGACGGCGTCCGTCGAGGGGCACAGAAAGGTTGGGACACGTGGCGAGGGATGAGGGACCCGGTGATCGAGGTGGCGTGACGTGATTGGTGGAAGGAAGGAGTCCCCGTCACCGGCGTCTTGGGACAGCCGGCTTGGTAGGTAACGTAGGGGACTTGCTGGCTCTGTATATATCTGAGTTCGGGTGAATTGACGTAAAACCCCATGGTACCGCTTTGGGCAGTGCACCAACCTTACCTCTTTCTCGCTGGCGTCCCCCGAATTCTGATGCTTCATCTCTAAATCATTCCTTTCTGGGTAATTTGCCAATACAAATTTATGCACCTTTAGGATTATTTTGTTAATAATTTTAGTTATTGGAAAATAAAATTAAAATTAAACTCTTAATTTCGCAGGTACGAGGGTAAGAAAGTAATTTGGTTGAGTGGATTAAAAACGTCAAGCAAGTGAAACTGTAATTTATTATTAACTGAAGGCAATGAAAGGGTAATTGTTTCCACGGCGGCCTATGTCGTTGGAGTTGGACTTGTCTTGTCGACGGTCTACGTGTCCACAAACCAAACATTCGGCGCTACAACGTTATCGACGGTAACGGCCAGTTGTCGGTGAGCAGGGTCACGCCACGAAAACGGAACGGGTTCGAGCATAGGTCATAGGTGGAGGTGGTTGGAAACTTGGACGGCGTCAGACTGTCACGGGTTGCACTGTCAAGGCCCGCCTCTGATTGGCCACGTCTGACGTGGAAACCAATGAGCCGGTTATCTAATCTCTCACAGGTCACAGCTTTATAATTCCCGGAAGACTTTGAAATTGGGGCATAATATATGGAGGGGGATTGGGGACAGTGCATGATTTTAGGTTGCGGCCAAAGTTTTATGTTTGTATAATTTTGCTCGTAATGACCATTTGAACATGCTAGATGCTACCACCCTTCGAGCTATTTGAAAGCTCACTTTCCTTGAATAATTAAATTTGATAGAATCTTTAGCCAAATTATACACAGGGTCATTTTTGAGTTCCACGATACCATAACAAGCATGGACGGTTGAAAGTCACTTACGTGTACGTGGACAATTGACCATGAATCAGGGATCTAATCTCCAAGTCCTTTGATACGAAGATAATTATGTCTTTTATATACTATTATAGTGTGACCATGCGCCATTCCAAAAATGTCATTAGTGATTCTAATTATGAAAATTAATATGATAATCATATTCAACAAAGTGATGGTGGGGGCAAATGAACTAATCAACCAAATTCTTGGCGCAACCAATTTCATCAAGTCGCTACTTCATTGTCTTAAGCCAAAAACTGCCAAGGAAGACATGCTACAAGATTGGCAAAGCTCCATTTGGTTTCTCAGTCAAGATGGGGTAATCTCTCCTATCAGGAGAACTCTATGTGGCCTTGGCATACCTATCAACAGCAAAGTTTCGTGTTGCACTGGGCAGTTCAAGGCATATTCCATCAAGTTCAGGTTTTGCAGTCATTTGACAACCCAGTCGAGACCTGTAAAAAAAAAAAAAAAAAAAAAATCATCTTACAGAATTCAGAATTTATATTTCAAATGGTTTGACAGAATTTTCCCTGCAGACTAATTCCAAGATACAAGGGACTTACGTCTCTGTGAGCCCGAAAGCGAGGTCCAGCATGTCATTTTCCTCATCGGTTGGATCTTCAAGTTTATTATAGTACTCCATATCCTGACCATGAGTTCTAGGAGTTAGCTTTGTTGAAAATTTTAGTTGGAGGGACGGAAGTCTAAAATTTTCAAGGCAACTTTCACCGGATACTAACTAAACAGAAAACAGTTCAATTTGCATCAGTTTCCTTGTGTCCAGTGATTGTTGCCTTGCTATCATGTTTCTTCTTCTGTAGGCAGGTTTCAAAGTACATACTCTCACAATCACATGACATGTTGAACAAGCGCAGGATCCTTCACATGCTCCTAGAATCACATTGAAACAAACTAGTTAAGGGGTACACTATAAAGTTCTTGCACATTCAATTCCATTTTTAATAACCATTTTATAATTCTTATAAACCAATCTTGAAGGGGAAGTTCAGGCATCAATACCAGTGTACCACCAAGACAAAATTGCAAAGAGTTATTAGTGTCTATAATCTATCTAGAGCCCCGAAAAGTATTTGATAAAAGTAGAGTCATACTTAAGAGGAAATTAAATAAGGGAAAGGAAGGAGGTACAGAACATCAACTGGCATGCCGAAGTGCTACCTTCAAGTTCTATGTCATGTTCATGAGCAGCTTCTAGCATGGACATGCCAATGGGAACCTTAATATGCGTCTCCATTTCATCCTTGTCAACAAATGTCACAGAAATTCTGTTGTGTTAAACAGGAAAATAAAGAAGTCAGCAAAAAAGATATAAGTGGTTCCAATAACGTAGATAGGTGCAGCAGAGCACTGAAGATGAGACCCCATCTTCAATAAAATAAGCCATTTAAGGGAATTCTTTCCAAACTGTTCATTGGTGACTGAAACAATGTGTAAATCTTTGGTTCTATAACTCCAATACAGTTCCTGTTATACGAAAAAGCAACTTACTCTTCAACTACTTTATCCCCTTCCTCATGAGCGGTTGTTGTAGAGAAAGTTTGATGCTTCTTAAAACAAAGAGATATAGGGAGAATTTAGAGCCAGAAACGAAAACCGGACAAAGGTCCATTAACGACAAGTCATCAAGAAGCTTACCAGAGAATGGAAAAAATAATTGGAAACTTTAGGTAAGTTTCCTGTCTTCGGTGCAGACGTCAATGTACCTGGAAAAAAGCATGTCAAACAGTTCAGAATTAGTTTTTATACCAACTTAAATTACTGCTTAAAATCACTTAAAATAGTAAAAGTAGAAGGGCGCCACTTTTTAATAAGACCCAAAATAAAGGACTTCCAAGATGAAACTGCAAGATAAGTCTCAACTCACAATGCCCATTTGGATTACACTTCTACTACATTGAAACCTTCAGAGAAGAAAACATCTGCGAAGAACCTATGCCTACAATCTAAGAAAAGGGACTACAACCTATTAAAACAATTTATGGCAAGGTACAGCCAGATCTCTAGATTTAGACTGATAAAATCATAAAAATTAGCTAAACTATTATCATGTAAAAAACTTGAAACGTTGAACAACCCAACATTCCTGCCAATGATACTACTATATGTTTTCACCCAACATCACTCTCCTTTCACACATATCTAGCTACATACAAAACTTTTCAAGCACTAGTCTTAAATGTATACCAAAGGATCCATGCCAAACAGGCTCATTCCTTGAGCAGCAGAACCATAGCATTTACCACACAAATATCAGTCCCACCAATTTTGTGCATTATTGTACATTAATCAAAGTTCGGCTATTTAGTAACCGAGAACAGTTCAATAAAACTACCAGTGTAGCTGCAATTAGCACGATATTAAGCTGAGCAACGAGCATGGAACAAATTAATGTTAAATGTGAGATAAACCAAAAACAATTCTCCACAAAACTGAAACCTTTTGTGAGATGCTTGACCATCTGAGTTCCGAACCGCGATACTCTAGAAACAAACATGGTCCACAGGAACCGCTGAGAAGCACCTGGGAAACATGAACAAATGAAGTATTACAAAATAAACCAAAAAGAATGAAAATGTATTTGACACAGATATGTAGAATGTATTATGCATGCAATCCTTATCCTTAAAGCAAAAAACCATCATTTATGAGATCGAAAAGGAAAATGAAGAGTAGTTCGTATGAATTCGGAGGAAATTCGATATCAAGATTGATAATGATCTACTTCAGCGGCATTAACGCAAACACATGGTTGGCGCCCAAAACAGAGACACAATAGGAAACCTTGATATACGTAAATCTCAAAAAGTCTCAATTCCATATTAGCCATAAGCTGCACGAAGCACCAAAACTCAAAACTTACTTATTTGTTATAAAGAAGAGACAGGAGCACGGACGACGGACGGACCTCTATGATCTGTTTCAGTCAGAAGTTGAGCGTCTGTGTGCTAAATTTGAAGTCACCAGTGTAGATGCAAAGGTATCGAACCCAAGACCCCTTGCCCAATTAGATGGCCTTTTAAATTTAGGTCTTTGAATATTAAAGTATCAAACTTTTCTTGGTGAATCGTTTTATTAGCCTATGAACTTAGACTCAATTTGCATTTGAGTCCTCCAATTTTCAAAATCGTTACCATGGTTCTTTAACTTCACTTTTGTTATGACAAATGGTCATACCATCAATTTTATTAACTTTTTTTGTTAAATACAAGGGGCAAAATGGTATTTTTGTATTAAAATTAAAATTAACTTTTTTTATTCATATTTTAATCAATTTAATACAAAATACTATTTTGCCCCTGCATTTAACAAAAAAGTTAACAAAATTGACGGCAGGACTATTTGTCCTAACGAAACTAAAGTTGAAGGATCACGGAAACTATTTTGGAAGTTGAGGGACTCAAATGCAAATCGGGTCTAAGTGCAAGGACTAATAAAACGATTATCCCAACTTTTCTTCTTCTAATAATAAAAATTCTATATAAAAGTGATCATTTCTTTTTTTTCTTTTTTTTTCTTTTGTAACTTTCTCTAACTATTTGTGAGACATTTGAAGCGCACAAGTGAATATACGTCAAATGTGATGGTCGTGCTTCTCCAAGTAAGGGTGGGCACGATGTCAAGTTTGGTTTGGTTTAGATCTCAAAACTAGTAGCATAATTATATCAATCAAGTAAATATTTTATATCTTTCTTATATATATATATATATATATATATATATATATATATATATATATATATATATATATATATATATATATATATATATATATATATATATATATATATATATATATATATATATATATATATATATATATATATATATATATATATATATAATCTTTCTTATATATATATATATATATATATATATTAAATGACTTCACAACGTATATTGAACAATCATTGAAAAAACTTCTTACTATTGAATATTGAGAGAGTCATCAAGTAAATTGGTTTGATTCGATTATGCTCTAGTTTCAAACCTAAACTGAACCAATTTGAACTGTGATACCACATTTATTTAGTGTACAATTTGATACCTTAGTCAAACCGAACCGAATCACGCACACCCTACCTACATCAAATACTTTTCCTCTCCCTTGGGACTAAAGAAAAAATAACCCGATGTGACATGTATCCAACCATAATCTTGTGCAAGCCCAAAACTCCCAAATTCCCAATTGGTCCGAGTCCAAAACTTAAATGACTAGATTGAAAGTCTATTTCTCAACCCCAAAACTTAACTAGTATATATGGATGGACAAAGAAATGCTTGGACTTTCCCATTAAGGCAGATTGAATGTTCTCAACTACAAGTTTATAACAAAGTACACAGCTTCTAGTGAGGGGGTAAGCCCTGCAAATGCCCATATGTTTGTCTTTGACGAGCTCTCTCTCTCTCTCTCCCTCCTAAGTCTACTTATCGCCAGCTTTACAAGCACAAGAGACACACTACATGGTATAATCCGCCGAAGACATGGCTCATTACCATTTGATTTTATTGTTCTCATCGACCAACCCTAGGCCTTCATTTTTATGCATTCTCTGCATTATAAATGAAACAAACCCTTTAAGCCCTGCAATCTAGGGCATTACAAGAACAAGTTGTTATTGTTGTTAAATTTACATATTTCTAATTCTTTCCAATCTTTGGCCATGGCTTCTTTTGCTTCAGTTTCTCCAATCACTGTTGCCACTCTACCTTGCACCAAGGGCAGAAGCATAACCTGCCAAGCTAATGGCTTATCTAGCATTGTAAGAGTGCCCATAGTTATTGCAATTTTTTTTCAAATTTTGGTGCATGCATAGGTGGTTTTTTTTTTTTTTTTTTACTAATTCACATGCTTGATTGTTTCATATTTGCAGGGAGGTCCAATGGTTAAGGGACTAAGACTTGTGCCCAAGATCAAGATCACTAGGGCGGCAGAAAGATCATTTCCAATCCCTAGTTGCCTCAAGACTGCAATCTCATGTTCCATTGTGAGTAGATATCTTATTTCACTTTAGATTATGTTTGGGGGTATTTTATTATCAGTATAACAAGCTCGATCAAATGTTACCAGAAGCGTTTTTAGTAACTTGATAGCAATTTTTTTATATATGCTGATTTCATTACCTTGTGCAGGCTCAACCAGAGACTCTGCTAACTGTCCAAAGCACAATTGCCAAGCAACTCTCCATTGATGAAAGCACTGTGACTCCCGAAACTAAGTTTGTCGATTTGGGGGCTGATTCTCTGGACACAGTCTGCTACTCTATCTTCATACTTTTTACTTTAGTATAACAAGAAAAAAATTGATTAGTCGTGACTTATAAAAAGTTATCTATGTATATAAAGCAAAAGGCAAAGAATGGTAAAACATTCAAAATACTAGAAAATGTCGTCGGTTAATGCAAACATTAAGAATTGAAATTATTAATTAAATGAGGATAAATCACATTTACCTTTATGTAATTGACTAAAATCTCCTTTGTTCAATAATTATCTGATCAATGGAATAAAAAAATGAAACAGGTTGAAATCTTGATGGCTTTGGAGGAGAAGTTCGGAGTGTCCGTTGGAGAAGGGGGAGCAGAGAACATCTCAACCGTTCAAGATGCTGCTGATCTGATTGAGAAAGTGAAATCAGCTTCAACTTAAGTCGATGTGAAGGAAATTAATTCCTTGCTGTTTTCCAGTCAAGTTTTGTTTTCTAATTTTTCCCTTTAGATTATTACGTCACAACTCGAACGAGATCATGACCTACAATTTTCGTTTGGAATATGGAATGGATTATGGCAAATAAATTTATCAAACTTTTACCTTAGACTTTTTCTTAGAGACTCAGACAGTAACACTCTTGAATGCTTCAAGATGTCATAATTCTGCATCAATTGCATAATTGTGTGTATATAAGTCAAAGTATATCCTTTTGTGCACGGGGGTTTTTTTTTTTTTTTTTTCTTTTTGGTGGAGGACATTTTCTATTGAAAGGGGCGATAATATACCAATAGACACTACACCGATGCTAGGACTTGAACTCAGGACCTTTCCTAGGTAACAATTGCTGCAAACCACTATACTAGTAAGTCTTTGCACGCGAGGGTTAAAATGTGAAAAGGAAATTGATATGTAAAAGGTTGATATGTAAACTCATCAGGAGTTCATCGAAGTGGGAGGATTCAACACACAAAACCCATATATATACAAATATACAGAAGAAAACTTGAAGATCACATGGAAACATCAAATAGGCAAAATGGCTATCCTACTTTAGTTCCTCCCTCATAATCTCCAAGAGGCATTGGGTTCTTCTCTTGTTCCCCGACAGAACCACCTTATTTATGTAGTACTTAGATACATCTCTATTTACTATATGGATATATTAATATGCATCAAGTTCCCACAAAGGTTCTCTATGTACAATGGTGTGGAGTCGCCGGCCGATACTTCATAAAAATCTTCATCACTTCCTCTCTCAACGATCCAAAGCAGCAATTACCATCCTACAATACAAACATACCTAATTAATTGAATAAGAATTAATAAAACAGGTTAAAGTAATTAGTTCTTGCTAAACATTTTTCTCCACGATTGCATCGATCATCTAATCTACGAAAGAACCTACGTGTTATAATGCGGATTTTGTCAAAAAGTCTTACATGTTATGTTATTAGACTCAATCTACCATCTCAACGACAATTATTGATATTCTTATAATATAACATACCAAATTATAGTAACTAGCTAGACCTTACATTAGTATACTAAATATCTTAAGCATCCAAGATAGACAGTCTCTCAATCTAGTTTTTATTTGGGGGTTGACTTGTTCAGTTCTTAATCTAGTGAGACATGATCTAAACTAAACGAAGATTTATATATATTTTCTCAAGTTTAATCCTATTATCATTTTTTAAACACACTAAACAGCAAAACAACCAATCGTAACCAGTCGGACTTCTAGGTTCGGCGCGTTCCAAAGCATCAGCTGACGACTTCCTCCTTGTTAATTTCTTGTTCATTGCACCTGGTGTTCCCGCTGCACATAAAAAAACCAGAAGAACACATGAATAAATAAAAAAAAGGAAATTAAAAAAATTATAGCATCTAAGATTCACAGACAAGAAATCTTTGCACAAAGCTTCTTCCTTCCCAGTGAGAATGAGGTAGTTATGACGGGATATGTGTTGTATACACCCGTTCCATGCAATAATTCTTTCATAATAACCTTTACCTTAGAGTAAAACTTGCAAGAAACATAAAATCCATTATATGCAACAATGTTTTCTTAATAGCCAAAAAGTAACACTTTCAAGAAAAATACAAAGGTAGGAGGATATTTTCTTGTTCTAAAAAAAAAATTCTTTTATCCATAACGAACTTAATGGCTTGTCACGTTATTTATTTGCGATTTTTATTCACAGTCTGACAATATAAAAATAAATTTTAACTTACGGCTTTTTGGAGTGCCCGGTGTAGTTGGGGACTCCGAGGGGGAGCCGGAATTCGGTGACAGGTTTCCAAAAGTGGAAGAAGTGGTCCTAAGAATTGTAATGCTCCGAGTGACGGGCACCTCGTCGCAGACCATACTCGGCGAAGCCGGGCTAGACAAGGAGTCGAACTTGCGGAGCTTGCCGAGGCCGGTTTCAGGTGCCGGGCCGGCGAGTGTTTCATCCCAAAGCTTGTGAAGAAAACCCATATTGACTTTATATTCTAATTATATTAACTAATTTAATTTCTCTCTGTAACAACCGACGAAGCTGGCTGTGTAATATGGGACAATGTTGCAAGCTATACGACTGTTACAAAGAGATGGGGAAAGCGAAGCAAATGAGAGAGAAGATGTGAAAATTAATGCGTAGAAAGAAGGTCCTTTCTATGAACAAAGAGGCTTCAGGGTTCTTATAAAAAAACAAAGGCTTTCTTGGCTTTGAGAGAGAGAGAGAGAGAGAGAGAGAGAGAGGGGTGATGATGGCTAAGCTAAATTCAGTAAACAGAGCGAGCGGCTAAAATGGCTTGATTGCTTTGGAGCCATCCACTTTGCTGCTTCTCCTTTTTAGTAATTTAAGTAACTATATATCGTTGGGGCGAAAGAGACTATAAGTGCAAGAAACTTCCATTAATAATGAACGACGCCATTGTCACCTCTCATATTTTTCTTCATTCTGTAATTACGTACTCTTAAGAAATTATCATTAGAAAATTTGGGATAAGTTCAAAATCGAAAACATAAGTTGGGTGAAATTCACATATTTAGGGGGTGTATTCAATTAAGATTTTAAAAGAGTTTAAAAGTTTGGGTGCATTCAATTCAGATTTTAAAAGAGTTCGTAAAAGTTTGGGTGTATTCAATTCAGATTTCGATTGGAATTAAAAAAATACATCGAAATCTAGGTATATTCAATTATGACTTTTTAAAAGTCAAACAAAATTTAGGTATATTCAAAAAGTAATTTACTTTGAATGAATTAATAAGTTGCATGATTTCGTTAGAAATTAAAGTGGTAAGTATAAATAAAAAAGGCACTGACAAATCTTATATCAACCCTAGAAACTTTGAACGTGCTCTACGCTTTCCAGTCCTTGAATGTGTGTGCTTGTCAAGTGGAGGTAAAAAAATCTATTCTCTTTTCATATATGTATGATCTCTCATCGTATGTTTGAATATTTGTTCTTGATGTACATCACCATATATCGATGAACAGTAGCATATATATCAATGTATATCATAATATGAACAGTTGCTGCTTAAATAGTTGTTGTTGTTGCCATCATATATAGATGAACATCAACATATTTGTTGCTATAAATATTTGATGTTGTACATCAAACAAGTTTTCTACGCTTTTTCAACTTTTCCTTCTTTTTTTTTGGTTGTTGTTATTATTATTTTATTATTCTATTTTATCATATATAGGGTTTAGGGTTGCCGTTATTATTATTATTTTTGGTTGCTGTTATTAATTTATTTTTTTTAGTTGCTGTTAATTTTTATTTTTATTTTTATTTTTTTGGTATATGTACATTATATCATATAGATGATAGCCTTCTTCATCGATTTATAGTCATTCTTTTTCTTGTTTTCTACAATATCTATATATATCTAGTCTATGCCAAAACAAAAAGGAAAAATTATCTTCATATATAATTTTTTTTTCCTATAAACTAATAATGATTGCATGTATTATCTAGTAACATTATGGGAGAATGAGGGAGAATGTTTTTCCTATGAAGAAGACAACAAGCATTCAACATCGTCATCGTTACTAGAAAATGAGGGAAATAATTATAACCAAGTTTTTCAAACACAAGAACAACAACGCGAGAATGCTAACCAATGGAGGGTTTGGATATCTTCAGATATGTGGAGAGATGTCATGAATGACGGGAGTCAAAGATGAGCAATGAAGCAGATACTTATTCGTTTTTATGCATTTAGAATTATAGTTTACATATCATTTTTTTGGTCTTGAAATTACTTTTATGTTTTTAGTTTTGCATATTTTTCATAAACATGCAGACATAAATCCTTATTTGGTTGCACATTTGAATAAAATAGATGCCCTTTTTTTATTTTCTTTGGATGTATATGGTTTGGACGTTCTTTACAAAATGTTTTTGTATAGGTACTTTTTCTTTTGAAAATCTAGAAAAACTATAAACAGGCCCAAAAAAAAGAAAAAAAAAACATTTTAGAACTCTCTAATCAACTCTTTTAAAATTTATGATAAAACTCTAACGAACACCACTAAAATCAATCTAGGTATTCAATCAAACTCTTTGCAGAGTTTATAGAAATCAATTCAAATATATTGAACTCTATAAACTTTATAACTCCGTTTAACTCTTTTAAAATCTTAATTGAATACACACCCCTTAGTGTTGTTGATACAAATCCTTTGACTTTTATACCATATATGATTACATTCCTTTTTTAGATTTTTTTTTATGATGTTTACCTTTTTTTTTCCTCAGCTTTTAGTTAATTTGTTGTACCAATTATGGTCCTAAAACATAAGTAACGTAAGAAATTAATTTTTTCCATAATAATAAAAACACAAAAGGTAAATACACTAGACACATCCTAAAAATCACTCAAAACTATACCTATGTTCCATATATTACACATGCTTCTAATCCTGATGATTGACCATAACACAACTGTTAAAAGTGTAATGCTCAAACGTAGACTATTCGGCCTCTTGCTATGCTTGTTTTTTTAGTACAAGTGATTGGGGGAGGGGTTAAATGTACACACAAATATGCATGGGATGTTGTACCTCTACCCACATGTGTGAAGGTGGAAAAACTCAACCAACTTAGTGATACCCTCATTGACTCCCACTAGGCTCGTTTTAACAAAGTAAAACTAGAGATGCACCCTTCCATAAGAGGAAGGGGCATTGTAGATGTACGGGACGAAAAATCTTCATGTATAACCATAAGAAAACACTAATTTTCTATAGTAGAAGATGTATTCTATGTGTGAGTTCTTTATTTTATTATGATAATTTAATAACACTAATATAGTACTAACATTATTTATTTAAATTAGTGGGTGAATTGGGACAAATAGGTTCACATCCTTGAACAATATTGACATTGCAAGTCATTTTTAATTTAGAAAAAGTGAACATCTTAATCTCAAAATGAGAAAT